AGGTATTCTGCTGCCAGTGGTGTCCATGGCCTTGGAGAGGCATGCGGTTTCCATGTTTATAAAACAATGGGGTTAAAAATCTCTAAAGTCCAATTTATTTGCCAGGATATTTTTTTTCTTCCTTGAACTCACATCTTCCTGAAAGAGAGCAAATACAAAATTAGGAGATCCCAGCTCCATTTCCAGTTTTGTGTTGTGAATCCTCACTTTGTCCCTATCTCCCTAAATGCTAAGTAGCGATAACTTGAATAACTCATGAAAATGACAGTAAAGTTTACATAATTGGTATAAAATAGTTTTATTTATTCAATGATTGTATTGAACACATTATACAAATGTACAGATCTCTTCACTAAAAATTAGCTTAGTTTGATTATGCATATCAAAATAGATTCATTTGACTTTTTGTGAAAGGAACATGTTTGCTCATGAAAATAGAAAAGAAAAAGAATAATGTCCAAGTCAGGACTTCAAGGATAGAGGCAAGATCAGGCAGAAATTAGAAAAAATTTTCCTGACCTGGTGTTATGGTCCAGTTATAGCCCTTCTGACACAAGACACCTGGTCTTACTGAAATAAATTAGGCCAAGACTGGAAGTTATTGTGGGTATTCCCCAGCTTGCTTATGCTTCAGGCATCCAAGGCAATGAAGAGGATTTTTCTGACCTCACTTGGTTCATTTATCACCCACCCCTCATCCCAGAAGATTGTGTCTTTTCAGACATCTTAAGTCAACTCAAGGATGCTTTAGTGTCACTGTTCATAGACCCCCAAGTCAGGGTCTTCTAAACCATTAGCTTTCACAACAATCAGGTACAGTAATTGGTTATAAAGATAGTTTGCAATAATTTGGTATAGTTTGCATTCAGGCCAGATCTGCAAAGTACTATTTACCTTGTTTCTTTTCTCTGTTTCACAAATAGTTATGTTCTTTTACAAACATTATAAGCATTTCACCAAATGTGGGAGAAAGTTGAAGTTCTCCAAGTGTGTAGGCATTAGTTCATTTTATTCTTCCAAGGAGCAAAACTGTGTGACCCACTAAAGTAGGGAAGAAATAGAAACTGTAATATTTCTGCACATAAGATACACTGAGACGTGGGTAGGCAGATACAGGGTGTGGCCAGCTCACTCAGCTCTGGATGTCTGAGAGTGTCAGAGACAGATTAAGCACCCAAAGATGACAAGGCATTTAGGTTGTGGTGACAGAAGATTTACTGAATGACTCATGTGTGTTTGCTTTAGATCTTTCCATTTCTGGTTGGAAATTAAATTCAACATCTGATAAGCAAATTGCAAGTCAATTTAGGGTTAATCTAGTTTTTGTTTGAGTGTGTTTGTTTTCAATATCTTGTTAGCTAAATCACATTATGTGGAGTAAGAGGTTCTAGACTCTTAGTCTGGCCCAGAATGGATTTTATAACTATTTCCATTTGCAAATTATGGGTGATATGAAAAGTCATAATGCCTTAGGAGCAGAATATTAAGGGCAAACACTTCAGGTTTCTGTTTGTGCCCAGAAACTCAATGAAACTTCTACATGGAGAAAAAGTTGCCCCAGGGTGTCAAGGCAAATTGAGGTTGATGTTAGAGTTGCCTGTGTGGGTTTGATTACATTACATGTTAATATGTAATTCACTTGGAAAAAAAAAGAATTGGTGAAACTTAGTTCTTGGCAGAGTCCTTACTTGCAATAAACAGGAAGTAAACATTGAGAACTGGACTTTGGAGGCCTCCACCTCCCTTTTCAATTTTCATCATTCTGCAGCCCTGGAATCTCTCATTCCCAGGGATTCCCATTCTCAGATCCTCTTCCAAGTGCAAAATGATGCCTTCCAGCACCATCTGACTTTGTAATAGGTGATTTCAGAAGACCTCATAGTTACCAAAGGAACAAACTGGTAACTTTGTGCCCCACCCAGAGGACTTGACTTCCACACCACTGGGAGACTTTCTGACCTTAAGGAAGAGAAAAAAAGACACATCTCTGCCCTGGGCTTTATTTTTCTCTAGGGAAAATCAGTCCAGAGAAGAATCAGGGGGCCATTTGCATGTCCCAGATTTAACTTTTAAGTGGATTGGAAAGATGATCATACTCATTTTTTAAAATCTTTTGCATAGTGAAGGAGTGAGTTAGGAAGGCCTATACTTCTTCTCATCAGAAGGCATTTAATTCTTCTCTTGATGGGAAAACTCCCCCAAGTACATATTTTACTTTTAAGACTTATGTGATAGTCTTTCTTACCACCATGTCTTGACCTGCCTTGAGTGATCATTCCTATCAACCCATAATTATTGACTCACTCACACATATCACTTTTCTCCAGCCCTATCTTCCTTATTCTGAATACATTCTGAATCATTAGTATAAATAAATAACAACAGACATAATTCTGGCTGATTTATTTATTCAGGAAACACTCTGTTTTAGAAAGATGTTATTTTGTCACCTTCAGTATTTCAGTGGAGTTGAAAATAATCTGCAGACCTTGATGATTAGCTTACTCCTGTTCCCTGAAATGTGACAGGGTAGCTGTGGGCAAGTGAGTTTCTACATCAACATCACTGTTCATCCCCTTTCAGGTCAGCAAGCAAAAGGTCTGGGAAAAGTGTGTTGCCATCCTAAAGCATAAAGCAACAATTTATAATTATTGGTGAAACATAAATGCCATTTAGTCAACATTTATTTAACATCATTTATATCATAGTAGGTACTTGGAATATGGGAATTAACTAGACAGACGATAGACATCTCTTGGATTATGGGGTTACCATATTTGTAGTAAAAGGCTTAACATAGATTTCAGCTACAAATCATAATGGGAGGACTCACTGTATCTCAAGAGGACCACTGCACAGGCTAACTCAGTTGTTTCTGGGTTTTTCCAGAAAGTTTATCAAAGGTGTTCAAGAATAAACCTACTGATGATCTTGTGCTCTGGCTTCTTCCTCATCTCTCAGTTCATTGAGGGTTGGTCCTATGAAGATAGGGCACCCTCGATTCCCAAGATGCTTCTGTAGCTCTGTTAGGCTCTGTAATAAAGTTGCCTTGTGATAATATGCAAATGGGAAGGAACTTCCCTTTGCCCAAAACAGTATCACAATGTGTCCCCTGGGCTTGAAGCTACACTGGAATACCCTTCTTCACTTCTGCCTATCACCTTCTCTTGCTAAGATGACTGACTTCACCTTTAGGATCTGGCTAAGAAAAGGCACCCGAAACTATTGAGGGATCACGTATGCTAGACACTGTTCTGGAATTTTATGGGTACTAACTCTTTTAACCATCAAAATTGTACAAGTTGGAGGGTGGAAACAAAGTACTTTTTTTTTTTTTCCTATTTAGAGAGGAAAGGATTTGGGCATGATGTATTAGCTGTCTTAATGGTTTAAAACTATAAATACTAAGTCACAGGGTAAGAGCCAGCTCTTTAAATGAACTTTAGAGTTTTGAAAAATCAGTCTGTTTTGCAGGAGGGGGTTTGTGTTATTTTTATTCTTAATTAATTTTGGTCTAATTTGGTTGTAAACAGGCTCTGAGTTCAAGTTTGATGAAGAAGGCAGATGATACGGTTGGAGAAGACTGGGTTATGCTATGACTTAGTCCTTAACTCAGTTTTTTAAAAAATTTGCTGGTCTTTAAAATCCAAAAGTCTGAGTCATTTCACTGCAGAATGGCAAATTATGTCTTTTCCAAGGAACAAAAGTTGGGGGTGAAAACTGCATCCACGAAAAAAAAAATTACACGAGTGTTTCCCACCTCTGCCTCCACCCGCACTGGTACCTTGATCCCAGCCTTTTTTTTTTTTTTTTTTTTCTTACAGTTCTCTTGAGACAGGAGTGGGCAGGAGCCCATGGGATGGATGCTGGGTGAGAGACTTCCACAGCCCTGCACTCTGAATCACTGTTCCTTGGCTGCGGTGGCTTGGGCGGGGGGCACACCCCATTACTGCACGGGGCCACGTGGCTTTTCTTCAATTCCACGTAAAGTCTCCTGCAGGAGCGGCGCTACGCCCCCTTCCCCGCTAGATTACCCCCGGCAAGGTCGCCTCGGCCCCTCACAGACACAGGCCCCGGGGCTTCCAGAAAAGCTCCGCCACGCAGGGATCCGGGGCTGAGTTCCGTGCAGGGAACCAGACCCCTAACCAGGGAAGACGGGTCACGACACGGTCCTGTCATTAAATCACACGTGGGCCGGCGGGAGGGACCCTGGCGGCGTTGATGAGACACAGCGAGCGTCCAGCCATTGCCCGCTAACGAGCCGAGCGGAAAAGCGCTGTGCCGTGCGCCCCAGGATCTAGGTTGCTCCTCCTTCACCTGGCGACAACAAGCCACTCGGGCCTGGCTCCTCGACTGTAAATCAGGGGTCTAGGATTCCTTCCAAGAAAGCAGTGTTCTGAAATCGAACAGGGCTTGGTGGTGCCTCGGGGCCAGAACGCAGCTGGAAGCGGGGACTGGAACGCACCCAGCCCGGGTTCTGCCTGCCCCGCCTCCTCCTCCCGCCCCTCGCCGCGGGGGCGGGGCTTCAGAGGCCGGCGCGCGCGCCCCCGCCTGGCCTTGCGTGCGCGTCGCCGGGGGGCGGGGCCTCAGGGGGGCGGGGCGGGGCGCGCGAGGAGGGCGGCCGCCTTTGGAGGAGACGGAGAAGAAGGGAAAAGGCGGTGGCCGGCAGCCGGGCTCTAGAGGCGCCGAGGAGGCGGGCCGGACTCGAGTGTGGGGCGCGGAGCCGCAGGGCACGGCGGCCACGGCAGCCAGGGCCTGGGCCGCGGGTCGGCCGCGCGGGCCGGTGAGTGTCGGGAGGCCTTCGGGGAGGCCGGCGCGGCCCGCGCTGCGCGGGGACAGAGGCGGCGGCCGAGCCGGTCGCGGACATTGACCGGGTGGGAGGCGGCGGCTCCGGCGGCCGCGGGGTTGGCCAGGCCCGGTCCGGGTGGTGAAAACACGGCCCCGGGCCGGGCCCACGCGTGTCCCTGGCCGGCCGGTCCCGGCGCGCGGAGAGGGCGTCGGCGGCGCCGGTGTCCGCGCCCGGCCGCCTGCCTGGCCCGCCGTTGAGGCGGTCAGCAAATGGCGACCCGAACCGGGAGGGCACCGACCCCCGAGTCACCCCGGGGCTGGGTGTCTGTGTGTCCAGGAGGGGCAGACGGGGAGGTTGAACTTAGGAAACGAAGATTCTCGGAAGCCGTGTCGTTCCTTTTGGGTTTTAGAAGCGTGGGTTGTTGGGGACAGACGGGTTAACCTAAGACTGGAGGCATCGTGGACTGTCTCCGCGGGACGAGCGAAGTTGGTAACTTTTCCATTCATGGAAGTGCGAGGCTCCGAGGCTTCGCCCCGGCCCCTGTTAAAGGGAAACTTGTTGAGTTTGCAGGCCTGAGAGAGGAGCTGTGCCCTGCTCCTTGAGGTCCATGCTTGCAGGGGGACCTGTGAATGTGTTTTTAAGGTGACAGAGCAGTCTGTTCTAGGGGACCTGTGAATGTGTTTTTAAGGTGACAGAGCAGTCTGTTCTAGGACTCCGTCCCCGTCTCCCTTTCTCTTTTTTTTTTTTTTTTTCTGAGCCCTGTTTTGAAGTCCTGGATAAAAGATGCTTGGGAAGGAATTGACCTTTTATGCCATGATTACTTTGTTGATTGTGATCCAAGATGAAGTTACTTAATTCCAGTGTAGGTTAGGTTAAAACAAAAGGCCAAACTTTCTGGATTTTTATTTCTGTTTGGTACATTTCAGTGCCGTGTTGTGTGCTCCTTAGAGGCTTAAGAAATTATATCAACATGTGTTGCTTTTGCTCATATTCAAGTTTTTCCAAGTAGTCCATTTGTTGATTGGAAGAGCAGCATAAAATGTGCCCTTAGGAGTTTTTTGAAGGGGTACATTTCAATATAGTTTTCGTTGAATCACTCTTTTTTATGCTTAGTCACTGTTTCTCACTGTAGAAGTTTAATTGAGGACAAGATGATGTTTTGCTAACTTCTTGAATTGCCTGTTTGTTTTGTCACTACTTTCATGTAGTGACATAAGCATTTTTTGTATTTCTAGAAATACTGGGTGGAGTTTTGTGAATGCTATGAGCACTGAAGTTTGCCTATGTGTTCCAAGTTTACTAGATGTTTAATTTCAGTCCAGTGTTTCTATGTGTCTAGTGTTGGGAGTCTTCCCCCCCACCTTGGTTTTTAAATAGAAAGTGTCCTAATAAAGTAAACCATTAAAAAGCAATACTATGTAAATAATTGTTAACATTTTTAGATAATGTGTGTAGTTGGAGAGGTACTTGAAGATCACCAAAATAGGCACTGGTTAATGAAGTTACTATTTGATAAAAAATGTCTCTAAAATATGACTGTTGGGATAATATTTTTAAATGAGCTCTTATGACTGCTTATTTTGATAAAGGAAATTAGTACATGCTGGGCATTGTATTGTGGAATGGCATTGTGTTTGTAGAATACTTCGAAGTTAATGTCTTGAGTCAAAAAGACTATATAAACATTATTTAATTTCATATTCATTGTAATGAAGTGGGTGAGATTCACCTTGAACGAGTTGCTTCTATATTGTAGGTAAGGTGTTGGCTACAAACAAACATATTTCAATTAAAAATCATTCTTTTCATAACAAAAGTATGTCTGTTTTTTAAAAGAGTAATGTTAGCACTAGTTTACAGTAGTTCCTCATATGATTGTGTTTATGAGTGTAGGTAAGTAAGCACATATCAATGCTTTTGTGTAAAGTGGAGGACATACTTTTCTGAGAACTGCATCTTTATATCCTATTGGACACAGGAATAATTGTAATCAAATGTTGCAGAGTTCTAGATTGTTTTCCAAGTAGAATAATTGCCTGGAGGTCAAAATTTGAGACTCCTTGAAAGCCCACTCTGCCATGCTATTCTTACTAAGCTGAATTCTCCCATTTGAATGAAATGTGTTTAACTTGTCTGAGTACTAAATATTTACTCATATTATTTCAATTTCTGATGTTGGTCTAGATAATTTCATTTACTTATTTAGTGGAGAACACTGCAAGTAGTTAGAATTTCCACTTTGAAATAAGTTACTTATGGCCATATTTAGAAATAGAAGATGTATGTTTTTGATTATGTCACATCTGGAAGGATAAAAACTTCAAAAAATTTTCCATGTAATTCATCCATTTTATAAGCAGAGTCAGAACTAAAGTTTAATATAACTATTGTACATTGTAAATCATTTAATTCTATTGGACTGGGGTATTGCTATGAGTAAGAAATTTAGTCATAGTGTATGTTTTGTCTTGTCTAGTCCCCTCCATTCTTATTTTTAATTAATTAATTAATTTACAGTGGTGGGCCCTTGCACATGCTAGACAAGTGTTCTAACACTGAACTACATCCCCAGCCATTTCCCCTTTAAAAACTGAGATAAGATGCCCAATTTAGGTATAGGATGTGATTTGCCCTCCGGAGTTTATAACTGAAATTTGAAATTTCAATCGTGGATGTCCGTGCAACAGTGGTTAATTAATTGAACAAATCTGTCTAGTTCCAAATCAGCTTTACATTGGAACATGTTATTGTTTTAAGTGAAATTCTATTTCATCCAATAACCATGTTAATTATAATAGTACAATGCTACTCCCTGTTTTGTTCTTTTCCTCATAATTGTTCCCTACTCAGGCACCTACTCATGTCCAGACACCAACCCTTTTTAAAACCTGGTGTGACTGTATTGTTTTTCTCAGTAACTAACCTTCAGTATTGATTAGGGAATTAAAATAATGAAACAATATAAAGGTAAATGTTTCTTCCTATTTTTTAATGTTATTTTTAAAGATTTTAAAACAATGGAAGGTAGAAGTTAATTTTCTTTGATTTACTTTCCCTGTTGATTTTTTAAAGAGATGATCTGTTCTACTCCATGTATAACTCCTGGAATGTATTAGCTAAGTGCTCAATAAGTGGGCATGATTGGCTTTTCGTGGTTGATACAGTGAGGTAGTTTTGACTCAGATTGGTTGTCTAATGCTAGATCTGTAAGTTTGTATCTTTTCATGGACTATATAGTTTTCCATGAAATCAAGAATCTCAATTTGTTTTAGAATCCATTTGGTTGTTTTCTTGTGTTACAGTTCTTTCATGTATTTACACAAATGAATCTGATTGAGTTTTAAATGCAGGGAACACAAGAATGAATGAGACAGATGTTTCTGACCTTCATGAAGCTTACAGTTTTTCTGCAGAGCTAGATATTAAACAGAATAATGATTTATTTCGAGTTGTCCCTAGTACTAAAAAGGAAAATGCAGTGTGTAATGAGTAGGCATAGTATGGGTTTCATACCTCTTCTTTGAGGTACATGGAAAAGTAACATTTAAACTAAGGCTGAAGAGTTGAGGTGGCATGGGATGTGGGGAAGGAAAGGTGAGTGTTTCTTTGTCTTAGAGACAGAGGCAGACATTAGGAACCGTCCTGAGGCAGCAATCTGTTTTGAATACTTTAGTTGACTTTCCTTAGCATATTTTAGAATCATGCTAGTTTGTAATGCTTTGCTTATTGCCTTTTGTGTTTTGATGAATTTGGAAAAAATTTGAGGGCACTATCTCTATGCCTTAAACATAACATCTCATTTCATTATATGGGAAAATGCCATGTCTTAAAACTATTTTTAAGGATTGCTTGTCAGCCACAGAGTATGAGTTGGCAAGGGACTTCTATTAGAAAAAACTGAAACTATTGTAAAGCATTTCATCATTTACAAACAGTTTTTAGTCTAATGAGACCTTTTACTAGTAATTCATATTTACATGTAAATTGCTTGGCATGTTAGGATTCTGACTTCAAAGAGTTAAAAAAAACCATTGAATTTTAAATTAAGTTCATCTTGAATTAGAAGCCTCAGCAACATGTTTTCTACTTGGCCTTCTGGGTCACTGGTTAACTGTAAGATAGATGCTTTATGAAGGCAGTTTTAATTGATAATAGTGATTTTAACTAGAAAGAGGATAGATCTGGGAGAGTTTTAAATTTTGAAGTTGCGGGCCTTCTCCAAATATTCGCCAGGATAACTGTTGCCTTATTTTCTTATTTCTTAATATATTTAACTATAAAATGGAATTGAACCTGATTCCTCATTTGTATAGTTATTTTAATGCATAATGTTGTTCCATAAGTTTATATTTAGCTTTATCATTGTAAATTACTTTAAAAGTAACTTAAAGCACATATGTTCACAGCAAAGCAATGTGCATTTATAATTAGAAAGGACCAGAAAGACTTTCTTGACCACAAGGGTGATTAAGTGTTGGAATAAACTACAAGCAAAGTTGTGTAATCTCCGTTCCTCAAATAACATCTTAAAATTGAATCACCAGTTACTGATGAGCTGCCTTATTTTCTTAAACTTTTACAAGTAAGCATGACTTCTAATTACACTTATACAGATTTAAGTCCTACCTCTGCCACTTAGCTAGGTAGGTGACTTTAGGCAGGTCACTTACCATTTCTGAACCTCAATTTCTGCTAGGTTGTTATGAGAATTAAGTGACTTGATACATGATAAGGAGGATAAAATAGGTGTACAATTAGTGTTTCCTTTTTCTTCAAAGTCTACTTCAATAAATAATAAGTATTGTGGACTTTTTGAATAACATTCTTATTCAGAGGAGAATAATGTAGAAGAAGCTATTTATTTTGAACTCTAGTTTCCTTCTACTTTTGAAGTTGCTGTTTTTGCATTGAACTTGGAATTGTAGTTCTATTTTAAACACTTTAGAATTAAATGATGTTTTAAAGATAGGTTCTGCCTTGTGTGGTCACATGATAGTGTGTGCAGTAACAAAGTATCCTACAGGTTCTAAAAGCAATGGTCACTTATGTTGGAACCACTTGTATTTTTAGGCTTCTCTCTTAGCAACAGTCAGGCTTATAACCTTCAGCATGTGAAGTGAACTCAGTCTAGTTGCAAAATAAGAAAGCTACAGCTGTTTTCACAATCTAATCACTCAGTAAGATTTGTCTTAATTCTTAACTAATGTCCTCTTTGACTCTGCTTAAATTACAAATGTTTGTCATTATTAATCTGTCATTTCTTGTTATTCTTTTAGAATGGGTTTTTTTCTGTTCTCCTTTTTATTTTACCATTTTTACATTCACTTACATGTGTATACATTGTTTGTGTCCACCCCTCCCCACACCCCTGCTTCCGGGCAGAACCTGTTTTAATTTACAGGTTCTATACTTGACTATACAATTTATGGGAGTAAACATTTAAAAATGTCTAACTCATTTTGTTATTTTTAAAACAAGGTTTAACATTATGGTTTTGTTATTGAATGTGTGTCTTTTTTCCTGGCATCACTGAACAATATAATATCAACTCAGAATTTTTCTACCTAATCAAGAAAAGCTATATCAATAATGATTTGGTAGGTTTCCATTATTCGAGTTTGAGGAAAATCAAGCTTCAACTGCAGAAAAAGATATAGCAATTTTGGGGGTGATTAATTTCACCACCTGGAACCAAGGTAGAACTTATAGAAAGATATGTCGGAGAGCTAGCAATCTCTTATTCACTGAATTCAGAAAAAAAGAATACAAATCTGCTTTTTATGTAGAAAATTGTATACTATAATGTAATTTAATTTGGAAAATACTGAGTTGCTGGTGCCATCTACAAGTAGAAATATATAATGAATGGCTGTAGAGGTCTAGAATTTGGAATAAGGATCTGAATTTATAGCATATGAGTGGTAATTGAAACTTTTGAAGAAAATGAAAGCACCCAAGGAGAATGTATAGAATGAACAACAATGACGTAGAACTCTGAAGAAAGCTGATATTTAAGGAAAGACTAAGGAATAACCAGAAAGATAGCAGGAGAATTGGAGAAGCGTAACAGCAACATAAAAGTAAGGGAAGATAACAGTCTGAAAAGGAGGGATTAATCATCTTAATGATGGCCAAAGGAGGTGGCATCTGAAAAAAAAAAAAGCCTTTTGGATTTAGATGAATCTCAGTGGAATAGGTTTAGTGAGGGGTACTGACAATGAAGCCAGACCAGAGAGTCTATGAGTATATGGAGATTAGAATTTTTTTTTCTCCTGAAATTTTGACTGGATAGGAAATAAAAACAATAGTAAAAGACAAGTATTTAACTTTTTCTGCTTGTAGGAACAGACCAATAAAGAGGTTGAGGATTACAGGAAAAATGTGCTGAGTAGGTTCAGTTATAATCAAATCAACATATTGCCCTTACGCTTTGTCTTGATAGAAAACTTTACTTGATAAAAAGTTAAATTGCTAGTTTTAAGGCAGAAAAGCCCTTAGGAATCTAATCCCTTCATATTATTTTCTAGATAACTATTTCTCTGCTTCAAATTCTTAATGACTTCCATTCACTAAAAGTCCAAACTCCTCTGTAGCATATAACACTCTTCACTATTGCTGCATTCCTATTTGGTCTTACCTCTCACAACTACCTTTTATTTGTCCTGATCTAGCAATAATAGGAAAATTGAATATTCTTTGCCAATTCATGCTTTTCTACGTTTGCACATGCTGTTACTTCAGCCATGAATGCCTGCTTTCTTCCTAATTTGCTTATACTTTTCATCTTTTAAGGCTACTGCAAATTTTCTTATTCCTACCCATACTGTTTATTCTCTGTGCTACCATTTTATTTATGTTGTATTGATCATACAGTGTGAAGTGATTTTTACTGTCTTCCACCCCTTGTTGTAGCTCCTTAAGAGAGTTGCTAATTCTCAGGTTGCACACAGGACAGTGCCTGGTACATAGTAGTTAACAGTAAATAAATATTTAATGATGAATGGAAACTGTGGCCCTCAGAAGTAGAGGCCTCAGCTACAGTGCTTGAACTAGAATTTGTACTGTGTTGATAAATGCCCTATATATTTTAATTCAGCTTTGTTAATTTGCATAATTTATTAGGCATTTATAGAAAAAAATGAATAGATGACATCTTAAGTGAATTAAAATATTTAGAGAAAAATTTTAAAAAGCTTCTAAAAAGTTTTGTTTAAGTACATTAATGCAATGCAGATTATCCCATTACTAATATGACAAGGTCTCTGCAGTGTGAGGTACATCAAAATCAGTTTTATTCAAATTAAAAGAGTAAAAGCTATAGCATTCTCTAGCATGCTCTGATATCTAGAAGTTGATATACCTGCTAACTTCTTATTGGTGCTAATTTATTTAGCACACAGTACTAGAATTTGAGTATTGTATTTTGAAGGTATAATATGCTTTTTGTATATGCTGGGTATATTGCTTATCTTAAGAATGAGCCTTTATGACATTTTTACGTAATAATTGTTACTTAAAGTACTTAAGTTCCTTCAAAATTGTAAAATTAACTAAATATAGTTATGTGTTTCATCAAGAATAAACTGAAGTTGATTGATAATTTGATCTATATTAAAGAATTTTGAAAAATCAACCACTTTTTGTCTAACTTTTTATTTTTTTCCGTTTCAGAAACTTTAGCTGGACTGACCATAATGGAGGAGGACCTGCAGCATTCACACTGTGTGAATTGTGTCAGTAGGCGATGTATGACTAGACCAGAGCCTGGGATTTCCTGTGACTTGATTGGTTGTCCGTTGGTTTGTGGAGCAGTTTTCCATTCTTGCAAAGCTGATGAGCATCGACTTTTATGTCCATTTGAACGAGTGCCTTGCTTAAATAGTGACTTTGGATGTCCATTTACTATGGCCCGAAACAAAGTTGCTGAACATCTAGAAATGTGTCCTGCAAGTGTGGTGTGCTGTACTATGGAATGGAACCGATGGCCAGTTAGTTATGCAGACCGGAAATCTTATGAAAATCTAAGTAGAGATGTTGATGAAGTGGCACAATTAGATATGGCCTTGGCCCTTCAAGATCAAAGGATGCTCTTAGAATCTCTCAAAGTAGCCACCATGATGTCAAAAGCAACTGATAGAGTATCTGAACCTAGAGAACAAATCTCAGTTAAATCAAGTGTTCAGGAAATGCCACATCCTAATGGTTTGGTGTCTGTTGATGAAGAATCTTATGGCGCACTTTATCAAGCGACTGTAGAAACAACCAGAAGTTTGGCTGCTGCTTTAGATATCCTCAATACTGCCACAAGAGACATTGGCATGTTAAATACAAGTCTCCATGCTACCACAAATGAAACAGATGAAGAGCAGAATGTCAGAGAGAGCTTACAGGTTGGAAGCTTAAAAGACCAAGACCATCTTTATGAGGATGAGATAGGGGCAGTAGGTGGAATTAACTATAATGGCACAAGTCAGAATGCCCAGTTAGAACAAAATGGCTCAAGTGATTTATTATGTGACTTAAATACAAGTTCTTACGGCACTTCTGCTCTTTGTAATGGCTTTCCTTTGGAAAATATATGTACACAGGTCAAAGACCAGGATCAGAATTTTCATGATAATTCAATACAAAATCACTTAATAAATGGAGAGTGCGTGGCATCAGATGGTAAGTCAGAACCTTCTAGTTCACTTTTAGTAGCAGCACAACTTGGTGAAGTAATTCCATCTAGTGCTTTGCCTAATGGCACAGTTCAGCATATCCTCATGCCAGATGGTGAAGATGAAGGAGAATTGTATTGGAAAAAAGTAGACTTAGGGGACTTGAGGAATATGGATGTCTTATCTTTCAGTCATCCTCCTTCATTCAAATTTCTTTCTAATTCATGTTGGTCTAAACTAAAGGAAGATAAAGCAGTAGATACATCAGATTTGGAAGTTGCAGAAGATCCGATGGGCCTCCAAGGAATAGATCTAATTACAGCAGCATTACTGTTTTGTCTAGGAGATTCTCCAGGTGGCAGGGGTATATCTGATAGTCGCATGGTTGATGTGTATCACATTGACTTTGGGACACAGACTTTTTCACTTCCATCTGCAATATTAGCTACGAATACAATGGTTGGGGAAATAGCTTCAGCTTCAGCTTGTGATCATGCCAATCCACAACTTTCAAATCCAAGTCCTTTTCAGACACTTGGGCTGGATTTAGTATTGGAATGTGTTGCTAGGTACCAACCTAAGCAACGTTCAATGTTTACCTTTGTGTGTGGACAGTTATTTAGAAGAAAAGAATTTTCTTCACATTTCAAGAATGTGCATGGTGACATTCATGCTGGGCTCAATGGATGGATGGAACAGAGGTGTCCTTTAGCATATTATGGTTGTACCTATTCTCAGCGTCGATTTTGTCCATCAACACAAGGAGCAAAGATTATACATGATCGCCATTTGAGATCATTTGGAGTTCAGCCATGTATATCTACAGTATTAGCAGAGCCTGCTAGAAACTGTGTGTTGGGATTACATAATGACCATCTAAGTAGCCTTCCTTTTGAGGTCCTGCAACATATTGCAGGCTTTCTTGATGGCTTCAGTTTATGCCAGCTCTCATGTGTATCCAGGTTAATGAGAGATGTGTGTGGCAGTCTGCTTCAGTCTCGTGGAATGGTAATTCTGCAGTGGGGGAAAAAGAAGTATCCAGAAGGAAATTCATCATGGCAGATAAAGGAAAAGGTTTGTTTAATCTTGTCTGTGTCAACCTCTAATTTAACATAGAGTAGGCACTTAATGCTGCTGAATTAATACAGTTAATATCTTGTTGAAAATTTGACCATCTCCTAAAACTTACTAAGTCAATGATAGCAAATGTTTAAAATGTTAATTAATGAAGAACTAGAATAGAGTGTTGATTGTAATCACAGGTTTACTCTAGACTTTCTAGATCTAGATTCTAATCTAATATTGCAAAAGCCACTTCTGTTTTTGCAGATGAACAGTTCTGTACTCCCTCAATTCTTCTGTAAGAATTCGCTCTGTTTGGGTCTACATTACCATCATCTAATTTGGGCTGAAAACATTTTCACCATAAGAAGCTAGGAAAGGTTTTTCGTTTTGTTTTTTCCCTTGCTTGCTTACAGTTAATGCCGTTCTTAGCAGTTTCTTTTTGAGGACTTAGTGATTTCACTTAGAACCTAAATAGAGAGAGATGAGATGACTACTGTAAACAGTTATCCTGGTAGGTGACCAATGTAGTATTTGATGGAACACGGTTGATAGGTAAGGAAATCACATAGACTGACGTGAGATAAGAGTAGGGCAGTAGAATTTGATATTGTTGGTAGGGACTCTGGGTTTACTACAATACAAAGGAATGATGCATATTAGAAACTTGGGCTGGAAATTTAAACAGACTTAAACAAATTCTGGCTCCATTATTTTCCTCCTGTGATACCCTATTTTTGGCTAGCTTCTATATGAAGCACTATCCAGTGAAAGCTAGAAGACATTACAGGTATCTGTAATTGAAGGCATTTTTCATTGTAGAATACTTAATAATATGAAATTTTACATTTTATTGACATGCTTAACATTTGGTTGCACAGTTTATTCTTAGCACTCTTAGGTTTTTTGTCTTTTACTTGCTCCAGTTTTCAGAATTCTGCATGTACTTCTGTTTTTCCTCAGGCTTTGACCAATAAATTAACACACAAATTAAGACTTTTTTCCCCTCAAAAGGAGTCTGGTGATAGAAAGTTTCACCAGCTATGAGTATGTGTATATTTTTATTTTCCCAGATGACTTTTTTTTTTGGTCCTTATCCACTTTTTTTTTTCTGGGGATTTTATAATAGTTCCTACAGATATTTCATCTATTCTTTAAGTTTAAAGCACATTCATTTACACAGATTACTTGTACATCTATAAGCTGGCTATTTTCTCTGCTAAACTCCAGACTACAATATATAAGTATCAACTGGACATCTCTACTTGATTATCCCAGAATTTCCTCAGTCTCAAAATTTCTAACCTTTTCTATTCCTCTATTTCTTAATCTCAGAAAGTGGTATCATTGTCTACTAAGCTTCCTAAACACAGGGGTTTGGGAGTTAGGATTGACTGTTTTTTACCCACTTTTATTTCCATAACTGGGTAATCAAGAAGTCCTGCTGATTCTTCCTTTTTCATACCTGTGAGGTTTCCCTAGCTGTTGCACTGCCATTTTTCTGGTTCAGTGTCACCTTTGGTTCTCTCTTGGATTACTACCACAGCTTCCTCTTAACTGACTTTCTACTTCCGATTGGGCTCCTCACCAACATGTTCTCTATACAAGAGTTAGAATGATACACCCACATTTATATATATATATATATGTGTGTATATATATATATGCTAGATATATATATATTTATATATATATGCTGGATATAGAATGATATATGTATATATATATTTTATAAATACATTTAAATACAATTCTTACACTGTCAGTGCAGTGTTTAAAACTTCTTTAATATTTGTCCATTGCCATGGGGATAGAGGCCAACTCCTTAATAAAACATTTAAGACTTTGCACAGTCTCGTCCTTAACTCTTCACTTTATACTCCAACCACATTGACTTGTTCTGTAAGTCTTTCCTTTTCCATTCGTGCTTGTTACCTTGGTCTTCCCTACTCACATTCAGGCCTGTTACTTGTGTTCAGGTAGCGTAACGTTTTTAATTGTAAAGATGAGAAAGGTCCACAGTATTCACTGCTGCACTGATGATAGTGCTTCAGTGTCTGGCACTGCTGATTGGGCAAAGAAGGAAGTAGCCTGTGTTTTACCAGTAACAGATGAACAGGGATGGCAGGCTAGTATTTTGCTTAAAAACACAGTGTATAATAGTAGAACCCAAAATAGGATCTATTTTACAAAATTTTTCTCTTTCTGTAGAAATTTTTAGAAACATTTTGAATAAACTGAAGCACCTATGCTTTTTTTTTTTAAAAATACCTTTAGTACTCGTGAATTATAGAAAGATAAGGTATTTTTAATATACTTTAAATGTATGGAATAATAGGAATGGGAGAAAAACCTGGAGAGAAAAAAATAGTATTTCCAGTTTTAGTATCTTTAGTTAGAGAAGTTGCATAGGATAAAAGAGCAATGTGCAGTATATATTATTTTAGGAAGTGGCTTTGAATTCATGAAATTATGATTTTTAAAAAATTGTTAAATAAGGCAAGTTGGGTGTGATTTTATACTTTTTTCTGGTTATTAAGTTTACTGCAGTTATCCCATAGAAAAGATTTCTTTCATAAATATTTGACAAGTATCTATATCAAAATGGATTTGCTGCTTTTTAATTTGTAGCTAACTGCTTGAAACTTTGTTGGATTTCTCTATAACAATAGAAAAGAAATATATAGTTAGAGCAAGAAGTACATTTTGGTTTTCTGTAAATTGATTTGCTTAAATCTGAAGCAGAATTTTCTTCTAGGTATGGCGATTCAGTACTGCATTTTGTTCTGTTAATGAATGGAAATTTGCTGAGATCCTAAGCATGGCTGACCATTTGAAGAAATGCAGTTACAATATTGTAGAGAAACGGGAGGAAGCAATCCCATTGCCATGTATGTGTGTGACTCGAGAACTCACTAAAGAAGGACGTTCACTGCGCTCAGTTTTAAAACCTGTACTTTAAAAATTGTACCTTCACTTTACATACATGCAGGCACCTAGTAAAATTTCTTTGTAATATGTGACACTTTATTAATGTATTAAAGATTACAACTAGCTAAATTTATTGTCACTCTGTATATAATGTTTTGAAGTGACATATATTTTTATAAAGTACTGTTTAGTTGGGAAAAAAAGTTGCCTTAATGTTTGAAATGTGTGAACTTTTGGAACTTGCTGGACAGGGTGATCTAATCTTTAGCTTCATGATTTTCAGAGTTTTTTTTTTTTAATGGTGTGCATATTTTTTCTTAAATTTTTTGCTTCTTAAACTAATAAGATCCTGACTAAACAATTTAGTCCTCATTTTTTTTCCTATGGATTGAAGCCCATGTAATCACAGAACAAAAGTTTGGTTCAAATTTTTGCAGCATAGTTTTTCTAGACAAACACTTTCAGTTGTGTAAGCACTGCCATACAATCATTATAAAGTTTTTATTTTCTAGTACTCCCCTTTTACAATTATTAATATAGAGGTGATTTCCACTCTAAACTCACATGCTATTGTAAATCATAAGTAATGTTTGGTAAAAATTATTTTAAAACTATCATGTTTTAAAAATAATTAACAAAGAAGTTTTCACTTTGTGCTCCTACAACTCTTCTACAGAGAGCAATCTTACGCAGTTTTAGTTTTTATTAGGTGCCACATCCAAAGACTCTTGGCCACGTGTTATATGACAGGTTAAAGCAAAAACAAGCAAACAAAAAGCAAACCTGTGAATTTACTTTGAAACTGTAAATGGGTTTATGTATTTGTTAGATAATGTTTGAAAAGAAAACATACCTCACTTTAAGTTTGAATTTGGCATATTGTGTGAATAAATTTCAAATACTCAGAATGCAAAGGGCTTAGCTATTCTTTTCATAAGACTTAAACATTTTTGGCTTTTGTTGTTTATAAAAATATAACTGTATTGTTTTAAGACATTTAAAAATGTGAAGTTTAATGTCTTCTTTGTAGGGTAACAATCAAACAGAAGCCTGTCTCAGTTGACAATCTCTTTGAAACATTTTCAAATTAATTTCCCATACACTTCTCTACCAGAAAGAGTTGTATCTTTGTGTAAAGATCAAAGACCTATTCATGAGATACTTTACTAGAGTTTTCAAATTGATTTATACTAGTATTAATTTGATGTGGTAACTTTAAAAAATGAATGTGCATCCTGATCATTATTTAGAAATAAGTTGCAAAAATGGGGACATACACCTAAATAATTTGTTCTAGGTAAATTTTGGCATTTGGTAAGCTAAAATGGTGACAAGCTACCTTGTAATAAATGTTACAGCAGAAGCGTGTCTTCCCTTCCTGCCTCATTCCTGAGAGTGCTTTATGGCTCCTGGGTCATGATTCCCATACATGGTAATCAGGCTGGACAGAGGCATTCCATTAGAGAATTCTGAACTGCTTGAGATTTGTTTTGGTTGGTCAAGTTCTTATTATAGTTGAAAAGTATAGCATTAAAAATGAATCGGTTGTTTTGCCTGTCATTTTACTTAGTAGAATATTGTTTCTCAGTGCTTAAACTTACTTTTTCAATTGCAGTATGAATAACAACAACAACAACAACAAAAATCTCTTATTTCTCTCAAAAAGCCAGAAATAAGGTACCAAAATAAAAAAATATAACTCTACATTTAAAAATTTTGCTTAAAATGTATGTCCATGGTAGGATAACATAGCACTAGCTTTTAGTTTTATGGTTACACTTTTTAAATCCATGGTTAAGTTTAGACTAATTGTTTCCACTCAGATCATGAGATATTTAACATTTTCCACCTTACTTACATATCTTTCACTGTTCTTTTTTTGTTTCATATGCCACCATACTATTTTGTTAAAATGTTTCCTGCAACATTTGTTCAAGTTCTAATTAATGTTTTTCCTTTATATGGGTCATTAACTTAAAAAGAAAAACTTTGACTTAAATAAAATGGTAACATTTGTTTGACAAATTCCAATTGCAATCATATTGTTTCTGTAATGTTGACTTTCTGCATGTTCTAGGAGTTGCTAGTTGATGATTATCATTGGGAACTCAGGTTTTACTCATGAACATTCATTTTTTAATATGAAAAACTTATTAGCTTTCTCTGTCCCATGTCTTGAAAGTAGTCCCATCTAGAAGTATTGAAGGGCTAAAGAGTTTCTGGCATGATTATTTCTCTTAAACTTGTAATGGGAAACTTCCGTTTAGCCTCCTATACATGAAAAGGTTTGGCCTAGTAGATTGTCATTCAAGGACTCTGTTGACTCCTTATTATTTGCTAACCAGCAAGATAAAGGGCAAGCATCAGAATGGAGCTCAATATCTGAATTCACCTTTATTCTCTGCCTTCTTCCCTCGCACTGCTTAATTAACAAATCCAGCAGTCTGTTTTAACAAATTCTCCAGGTGATACTGACACACAATAAAATCTGAGCTCTCACTGGAAAGCCTGGGATATGCCAGCTGTCTTCTGATATATTGTTAGAGTGGTTGTGTGTGTACATAATTGTAATCCAAAAAGAATAATGGTAATTTATTAATATTAATGGTTAAATTATATATGTTGTCTCAGTTTTTCAGCTGTGTGACAAAATATATTGGTACTATGTTAAGATGTTTTAAAAACTGGTATTTACTAATATTTTTAATATCACTAGTATTTTATTGGTGTTTCATCTGGTCAAGGTAAATTATAGTGCAGATTTTAGTTCATGTAGCACTACCATTTAGCCTCATCATTTCATTCTCCTCTTGCTTAGTGGTTGCAGAGATGTGAACATACTAGATTCTTAGGGTAAACAAAGTGTAGAAGTAGAGAAATATTAGATTAAATTCTACAAAAATATGTATAGGGATCCTTTCAAAACTATTAGTTATTAAAGATTGAGGTTCTCATTTATCAGTAGAACCTTTTTGTGGTCTTTGACCCTGTTGTGATATTATTATCGAAGTTACTGCTATTGTTATCTGTCCTTTTATCATTGCATATTGCGATCTTAGTAATGGTCAAGATAACAAAATTTCCACCCCCACTGAAGTTATGGTGGTTTGCATTACTGTATGGATAACAGACTTTACATGTAGAGATTTTAGCTGTGATGTGATTGGAACCTGCAGTGTTACTTACAAGTACTGTAGAAAGAAAGTAATTAGCCCTACTCTCTGGACAAATTGATGGAAAGGATTTTGTGATGCATGGTGGTTGGTTATCTAAATGTTGCTGTAGGTGATTTAACATGCTCATCATGAGGCCTTGGAAGCCAGAGTATATTAGTTATATCTTTTAAGCATATCCAGTCATCACTGATTGCACAGTGTTTGAAATTACTGATGGAGAGGCCAGGCATGCTGGTGCAGGCCTGTAATTCCAGAGGCAGGAGGATCACAAGTTCAAGGCTAGCCTGGGTAAAAGTAGCAAGACCCCATCTCAAAAACAAAAGGTCCAGGGGTACAGTTCCAGTGGTGAGGCCCTGGGTTCAATTCTAAGTACCACAAAATAATAATAAATTAACTTACCGTTGGGTTTTGTATGTATTTATCTAAATCTAGTTTCCAGGAAAAAAAAATGTTTCAGTTGAGTAAAGGTTAATTCTTTTGGTGTTCTTTCTAAATAAAAGGAAAAGGAAAACTAATTTATTTTTGAAGTCACTTTTTACATAAGTATTTGCTTTTTTTTTAAAGTATGTTAAAAATAATACCTTTCAACTTTCTATATTATGGATGAGAACATTGAGGTACTCAAAGTCTGAAAGAAATGTATCTTGACATGGGTCCCTTTTCTACTTTACAAACACAGAAAAAGAAGTGACATTTAGATGAAAGGAAATTACTTTGGTAAATGTTATTTCCTTAAATACTTGGTTTCTACTGAGTATTTTACTCAGAAAGAATTTTGGGGTAATGCCAAAATGAAACTAAGGAAGTTTAGTATGTTGCTCTGAAAATTTTTTGCAAAGCTAGGGCATTTTGCTAAATTTTTACAAGAATTTTATTGCATCTGTGACTGAAAAAATACATAGATTCATTGTTTTTACATAAATTTATTCGATATATGTAGTCTTCATTGGCCAATACATCTTGAGATTTATTAATGGGGATACATGTTGGGAACATTTCAAAACTGACATTTTGTATTCAGATTGTTTGATATTCTAGTGTATCACATGGAGAGTGACTTTTCATTTAACTACAAAAAAGTGGAATATAAAAATGTGCTCTGTAGAAATATAATAAAAATTCATTGATGGAAATCTTTTAAAATAATTTGCAGTCTTTAACATGTTGGGTTGAAGTTTTTCTTTAGTATGAAGAAAAGCATTTCAGAACAAACTAAAATGGGAAACATACAGTTTCTCTTTTATTAATTAATAATTACAAAATTTGAAATATCTCAGATCATTTTATTAACCATTTGCATGAAGATGTAATAGAAAATAATTGTTTAATACATAGTTCTAGTAGTGGTAATAGTTTGTGTTTGAAAGTAATAAAATTGCATTTCTGTTGAATTCTTGGGAGCAAATTCATCAGGTCAAATTGTCCTTTCCCAGCAAAGACAGATTCATCAAGTTTAATTTTTATCTTTTTTACAAATATAAGTTATTAGAATTTTTTCTCATACAAGATCCTTAAACAGGCAAAAAGCTTGATAAATCTGTTTAGTATTTGGCAGAGGAACTGACTATAGAGTCATGGCTTTCTACACTCCCAGTCAAAGGTAACATTCATTGTTACATTGTAAGTGGTGGTTATGAGGCCTTTTGATAAAAGTAGCAAAGACTGAAGTTGAAAAGGAGGTCCTGCCCTCTTCTGTCCTAGAATATCTTTTCTTGTTGAACTTTTTTTTTTTTTTCAAATAGTAATTGTCAGTTGCTTATTCCAAAACTCGTTCTCCTGCTATTCAACCTAAATTTAGTAGTTTTGGTCAGTGATTTTAGATTCAAGTAACTTACCCAGCCTCTTTTTAAAAAGTCCCTTTGAGCTCACTAGTGCAAAAAAAAAAAAAAAAAATTGTAGTTTTGAAAATGTTGAAATATTGCATGTAGGTTTAACCACATTATTTAGCTAAGATGAGCTATAGAAATTGAACAGTGGATACTGTATCTGTTCAAGAGTGAAGTTACTCAGTGGTTAATTACATCAATGATGTCTTATGTGGATTCACTTGATGGCTTAAAATTATTACCTGTATTTTTAATAAAATAAGGATTTGCTATAAGGAGAGACCCATATTGATCCCCTGGCAGTTTTCTAATAAGCTTTGTGAAAACAAACATGAAATTGCATTCAGTGGTTAATAATTCAGTGAACATGAGTTGTAAAGATTTTTATTTTGCATTTAAAATGTTAAAACTGCATTGTTTACTTGATCTGTGTTGAAATACCAGTCGGTACTGAAAACAGACTGCTTTCTGAAAGGTAACTGCATTGACTCATTCACTTACCTCACTTACTGTGTACTTTACAATGTATCTTTTTTTTCTCATGATTTACACTGATAGCTGTCTTTACCTTAGGTGTAAAAGGGTATGGTATTCATAAAAAAAAAAAAATTAAATGAATGAAGCTAGACCCAAAAGGCCATGTGTTGTATAATTCTATTTATATGAAATATCCAGAATGGATAAGTGGATGGAAACAAATCAGATGAGTGGTTACCAAGGGAAAGGAAATTACTAAGGACTTTCTTTTGGAATGATAAAAATATTCTAGAACAAGATAGTGGTGATGGTTGCCCAATATTGTGAATGTGCTAAATACAACTGAATTGTATACTTATAAGTGGTAAATTTTATATGTATTTTGCCATATTTTTTAAAAGGATGTGATATTTGAAGTCATTATCAACTCCAAAAAGTACAGTGTTCCCAAGGTTTATGAAATGCTCAAGCTGTGGTTTAGGATTAATTTATAGCATTAGTAATTTGACAGATTCATTCAGTTAAAAGTCCCAATAAAATTCCTGAATCCCATCACAGAAGTACTGGTGACAACAGCAGAAGTAAACCTGCAATTCTTCACAATTTCCTTGTAATTTAGATAGTCGTGACTGATTGGCTTCTGTAGTGTTCACTTTCCACCTTTTCCATTTTATTATGATTCCTTGTGACACATTGCAATCAGACTTTTGAAAAGTTGTTTTAAAAAATGCTTTGAAAACAATTTGTATAATTTTCAAGATTTTTTTATAGTTTTATACTTTGTGTTTCTTTTAAAAAGCAAATGCAATTATGTATTAGACAAGACTAAATAAACTGAATGATGAATACATTTTTTATTCTTTTGTATTGTTTATAGAAAAAAGCTATTTGAATCTTGAGATTGGTAGGGACTTTAATAACCAGTTAGTTTCTCATATTTGGTGAAATTGAAGCTGAGTTTGTCAGTGTGTTTACTCATCAAACATTCATTGAACACTCCTGCCAGGAGCTATGGGGGCTTAAATCTGGAAGGTGGCTTCAACCCTCAAGTTTCACAGGTAATTTATTATTTTTGTGTCTATCATCTAGTAACTATGCTAGACAGGGAAAAATGAACAAGTTCCAGAGAAGAAAAGGCTTTAGGCATAGATTCACTTTGTTTCTCCACATAATTCTTCAAATATTTTTTAAAAATGTTTTTGTTAGTATTTGGTAGTTACACAGGGGTTTTATTGTGACATTTCAGAATATTGATATATTGTTCCCCAGTTTGGTTCATCCCCTCCATTATTCTCCCTCCTGCCCTGCTACCCTCTTAAAATGACTTTAGCAGGTTTCAATATTCATATTCATGCATGTATGGAAAGTACCTCAAC